ATACTTCCGATAATAAAGATATAGATTTGTTATTGGGCGCAGATTTATACTCTCAAATTCTATCGGCTGAGTCGCCTCACATTGTTTTGAATTCACTGGTGGCTCAGAAAACTATATTCGGTTATATACTCACTGGACCGATTCCTTGTCGTCAAATTGCATAGTTGACATAACGAACAACTTTTAATTGTAGTCTATATATATCATATAGCAAACTCGCTATTTTTTGTTAATTTGTTGCTCAATAAAAACTGAACTACTATACCTATCGATGCATTTTATTCACAATGCAAATACTAACCTAGAATAAGTCGCGATTTAGTCTAATTCATGTTGCATTGCATTGTAGCGCTGCAAGGTGGGCGGCAATGTTTAGGTTCGATACATTGTTTACGACAATGTATATGTTCGATATGTTGTTCACCCCTTCCGTAGCATACCAATTATTATTCACATTAATTGGCCACTCATTTGAGTCAATGGGGGAATCTTCTCTGCGCTCTCTTCTAGGAGTCACATTCGCCTGGTTCGGATTGTAGGAGAGAGTATCCGCTCTTTCCTACGCTCTCTCCTAGAAGTCACATTCGCTCAGTTCGGATGCAGAGAGGACTTTCCAGTGCTACGGTCGTCGATGTGATCTCGACCTTGTTTACGCTACATTTGCTCACCGCGACTCACTTGCATTCTAACTTTCGTTGTTTAAACTTGCTTTCTAACTTGCATTCTAACTTTCGTTGTTTAAACTTGCTTTCTAACTCTCGTTGCTAAAACTTGCTTTCGATCTCGCACGCACGCATTAAGGTAAAGTTTTGTTTCTTTTCGAAACTCATTAACTTACCGAATAAAGTTTGAAAATACATATTCTAATACCAAATTTGTTTTATTTTGTTTTTCTTTCTTTATTGGTTTTTCTCCCCTCATCGGTATCACGCCAACACTAAGCATGCCTGCTCCAAACAAATATAATATATATATATATATATATATACTATATATGCCTAATTAATGACCGACATATGTCAATTCCGAACCCAATATTTTTGTTTTGTGCCTCAATTCTTTCCTTCAGGAGGCATAATTATTTGGGGGAGACGCCTAAATGCCGGCCGATATATTTCATCATTCTAGTTTTTTTATAACGATGTCCTTAGAAAGCGGAATGATTACAACCGATGGCTAAATCGTATTAGAATTCCATAATTTGTAGGGTAAAACTGACTATTCCGAGTAACGACTATCCCCTTTACTATGGTAGAATACGCCTATATGGGGACAGCCCATGTTATAATTATTACAAGGTAGGGCACAGCTACCAACTGATTACAATTTTTTCTCAATGTGGCTTGTTCCATCAAATCAAAATACATATTTTTTGTATGTGTGTGTGTGTATTGTCAAATATATTCATGTCAATGTCAAATATATTCAAAATAAATTGAAATATATTCAAATTTAATAGAAATGAAAATTATGTTTTTAACACGTTCGTCTGGAAGTAATTACTTTGTTTTGGATGAAACAAACATTTGATGGTATTCCCTACTTGATTTTGGAAAGAAATCATAAACTTTCATTCACTTTTCGCGTTTTTAGTTTTGTGTTGAAGAAATGTCAAATAAACACAAACACTTGTTGCGAATATTTATTTTATTTTTGGCAGAAGAGGCCACACGTGCATAATTGCTTTTTTGTTATTCACCTGCCCTACCTTGTATTATTGTACCATGGTACGTTGGGATAAATAACGTTAGAACTTGAAGAATTCTTCATTTTCTTACAATAAACACAACTATGATTAGTAAACACACAAAGAAATGCAGAAATAAATAACGGAAATTGGGGGTACCCTTACATGGGAGCTATCCAAAAAAATGGACCAATATTCATTTCCTATTATGAACTGAAAATACTAAATTACAGCCAATTCCGTGGAAAAATACGATCAAAACCACCAGAATACTGAAAATTAGGAGGTACCATTATATGCGACTATATTTATAAGAAGAAGCCTGTTAGAATATGTTTTGTCCGAAACACTAAATATTTTTAATGTAGGTGGCAAATTATTATACAGCCGAGCTAATCTAACAAGGAATGAATCATCCATTAAATAAGCAATTCGCGGCAACTGACTGTTTCTAGTAGAGTGTGAAAACATAAATGTTCCTATTAGTAAAAACGGACTTTGAAAAACAATTAAGTTGCAAAACAAAAGCATCAACCGACAATTTAAAAATTATTGAAACGAACAGCCCAGAAATTTGTGCACATAGGGCGAAATATGAGATAGACGATTAAGTCCATGTATGTAGCGCACAGCACGGTTCAACGACAGCTGCACCAAATTTAAGTGGCATTGCGTCGTACCACTGAACTTCGAAAATAACACTGTGCGACACGAAAATTTTTCAGGGGTTCTAATGTACCAATTCTGTTTAGTTGGAGTCCCTGGACCACGAAAATACCTTTGGCTTTTCTGGGTCACTTCGAAAATTAATTTTATAATTAATTAATTTATATATAGAGAAAAACGTGGTTTCATGGATTTTCAATTTGAAACTCTAATAACTTATTTAATTTTTAACAGATTTATATTTATATATATATATATTTTCTTTCGAAGAGTACAATTTCTTCTTTCAAACAAGATATATATTTGGTAAATCGCTTGAGGATTGGCTGAGTTACAGCGGTTGAAATGTGAAAAAATACGCATAAAACTACACAATTTATTTTTCTTCGGACTGTACGATTAAATTATGATATCAAATCACTTAACCTCAATAAATAAGCTCTCAGCTACTCCATATAGACTACTTTTGTAAACCACACTGTAATTTAACGTTTTCGACACGTACAGAGCTACACCACCACCCCTTTGGCCAGGACGATCATACCTGCAGCAAGAAAATCCATCAATTTCAACTATACTCGAAGGTACCACGTTTCGCACACTCCCACAACGTTTATCAAGCTTCCTTCCAGTACATTTCTGATAATTTTGACGATTTTCCGATATATTAAAGCTTCTGCAATTAAAATTTGCAATATTCAAACCTGAAGAAGAATCTAATGCAGAGCGCAAAAACGAATTGTCACATACAATATTCCGAAGATTACAATTATTCATCTTATTTGTAAGACCGAAAAACTTAAATAAATGAACTAAAAATTATAAGATATTTACAGTAGAGATACTATCAATGAAGAAAAAAACATTTGTTGATGGAAGATATTCCAAATAAACGTTCACATTCCAATGCAGTTAACACTTCTTTATCACCATTTGGCAGCACAATTCGAACTTTGGGGACATCCCCATTTACTAGGACATACTTGGATTTTTTTTTTTTTTTGCTTCCACAGTTGTCTACACGTATTCATCAATTTGGAAGCAGGAGGCGTGAGGTGGTCATTAAGATAGATGCTGAAGCTGACATCAGTATTAACTGCATTATTTAATGCGTTTCCACGACATAGGGGTCTACGATCCGAAACGACCTGAGTCTTACTCAGCCAACGTCTGTCACCTCAGCCCATTGTGTAAAGGTAATAGGGCTGCTACAACAACAACATTACTTAATGTAATGAAAGCAGACCCTGAATATTTTGCCATAATAACATCTCTAGTATGCACCGAATTAAATTTGACCAGAGCGGAATTTCCACCAAAAACATAGCAACAGTGCTGCGCATCTGTGGGAGACAGATCTACTCTGCATAAACTTGCAATTTTAGAAATAGACTCACGAAGGTCAATTAACCACAGTGCAGGCCATTTATTAAAATGTCCGCAGGATTAAGGCGCCTTTGCAACACAAGATTCTCCAACACTATAAGTACCTTTATTTACTTTATTTGGAGTTTGGTGCATCATTCACATAAAATCGGACGAAACTGTATATGGGAGCTATATCTAAATCTGAACCGATTCCAACGAAACTTCGCATACATATGTATAGACCTGATTTAGTGTGCTGTGCAATATTTTGTCGTAAATGGACAAATATTGGGAGTTTGGTGCATCATTTACATAAAATCGGACGAAATTTTCTCAAATTTCTATAGGATTCGTTCTTGAACCAAATAAGTGAACTGTGCCAATTAAATCGTATCATAAATGCAACCTGTACTTTGTTCACAAAAATACGTGGACGGGCGGACATGCGAAATCGACTCAGAAAGCGATTCTATACATTTTCCCAAAGGAACCATGGGTCTATCTCGATTCCTTTCGGCTATTACAAACATATGCAGAAAGACATAATACCTTGTACCATAGTGTGGTGAAGGGTATAAAAACTGCAAAATCAAAAATGTCGCGTGAGTGACCACGAAAAATCCTTCGCAAATAAAGGAAATGCCTAATTTTGATGTTTTGAAAGTGCAATCCGATAAATCTTCGAGTTCTATAAATAGAAAAAAAATCTTAAAATTAAACTATATTACTAAATATACCTTTTAAATTGCGTCTAAATCGCGTAATCCTCAAAATCATTTGATGCTCTTGCGGATTTGTGAAACTACTGAAGTTTACCTTCTAACTACACAGTTTTTCTCATATACTTTAATATTTCCCGAGTTATAAAGAAGTGAACATCGGCTTCAGTTTCGTTAAAAAATTGGCAATATATATATATATATATATATATGAATTTTGATACTCGTGGATGTCCCCAGTGGTTGTCCTTTTACGGCAACTCTCATTGTCCTAGTCGTTTTTTGTCGGTATTATGGACTTCAATACTACAATTTAATTTCAATTTGTTTCATATACGAGAATCTAGCCCAAAGGGCGAAGAGCGATTCAAAAAACAAAAAAATATATTTAGAATACTCCAAAAGCTTAAAACTAACAATGTATTAGCTTAGATTACTTGATGTAGCGACCTAGCACATAGGGCCAAGGACTACAATATTATATCTGATCTCAAAACCAAATTTTGAAATAGATTTTAGTTAAATATAGTTTGTTGATAAAGATATATTATTTAACTTACACAGAAATGAATGTTGTTATGGGTCTCACAACTGTATACTGCAATATTCCATGTTTGCAGTTATGTATAAATTCTCTTCCCATAGACCAAGGACGCATGCAACACAAAGGAAAGAAATGGTGTACTTGTGGCTTATACTCCATAGTGGCCTCCAAATCCATTCCCAAATTCAAATAGTTCAGTAAGTATACCATAAAATTATAAATGACGTATGCCTCATAACATTCACGCAATGAATCCACGTATATAGAATGCTTTGGGAAAAACAAGCCAATCCACTGCAATTATACAAAGGAAATCATTTGTTCATTTTCAAAATACCCAAATAAACAATATTCGCATTTGTACGAATGTATGTATTACTCACCGCATTAAGAGCATATATTGGAACCATCCACAATATTCGTATGATGTGTTTTTGCAAAATGGGTTTGGTAAAATGAATAACATGCTGGATTATGTGCCAAATCGAAACAGGCACCGCAGATAAGACAAATAAGCCACCAATCAAAATCAATTGATCTTTACGCGAAAACCCATCTTTTAACGAGTTCAGAATGAGCAGCGGTACAACAATGATCGCGAATATACCATAAGTAACGATAAGAAGAGGACGTATCCAAATACGCCATTCTTCGCAAAACCTCCGCACTGAATAATTTTGGCACATCCTACTATCCGCACAATCTCTGCTTACCAACAATCCTATTGGTGCTATCGCAGTATAATTCTACAGCTAGATTTGCTTCTTGTTGCTAATTGATTGCAATTGTTTTCTTTTATGGATGGCTTGTTGGCAATAATGGTCGATATATCGTTGCTCGGATTTCTGACAATTTGACCCTTTTATTTGTCAAATAGCAAGCACGTCTGTGCGTTATTTACTTATCAATTTCTTCTCTTGCTTCAATAATACAAATATAACACCAAATACGATGCATTTTCTCTTGTTATTTGGAAAACACTTACTTTTTCATATCCCTCGGATTATTTTTCGACTAGACTATTTATCGATTTATTGTAGCAAATAATAAAATTGTCAAAGTCCGTGAAGAGAAGTACACACTATCAATATTGGTGGTCATCTGTACTTAAATTACTATCATTCTTTTTCACTATCAGCTTTTTTCGATTACAGAGTGCCCAACAACCAATGTGGCCATTTGAGCATTTTTGCAGCATTTTATGTTTGGATGTAGCCAAAAAATGTTCATTTAGCATTTTACGCTAACTACTTTAACACTTTTTAGCATTATTCTATTCATAAAATGATAAACATTTTCGTACTTTTTTAGAGAAAAACGCTTAAGGGCTAAGCAGAATGCTCGCGTTGAGCCATCCGTCGCGTTATATGTTATCGAATACATTATCGAGAACATATAACGCGACGGATGGCTTAAGGGCTAAGTAGAATGCTCGCGTTGAGCCATCCGTTGCGTTATGTGTTATCGAAAATACAACAACCAAAAGGAAACGATAACACAAACGCTCGAATTTGTTGTGCGCTGTGCTTCGGAGTTAAATATATTTTAACTTTTTGCGTGCGTTAACGCGATAACAAAAAACGCTCAACGCGAACATTCTGTTTAGCCCTTTAACGCGAGCATTCTGCTTAGCCCTTTAAAGGGTTATCGAAAATACAAAAGCGCGTAACGCGAACTAAATCATCAATATCGAATATTAAGTCTGCTTTTCCACAGGCAAATTTTTATTTGGCAAATACTGAGTTTGTAGGCGAGAGGGGTGCGAGGAAGAAAAACAAAAATTTGCCTGTTCAGAATTTGCCGTACACGCAAATTCTGCTTTGCTCTGTTCGTTGAAAACAATGTTGTTGACATTTCCTTTTGAACCTATTCGCTTTACTGACACACAGCCGGCTTTTGATGTCTGCTTTTCCACAGGCAAATTTTTATTTGGCAAATACTGAGTTTGTAGGCGAGAGGGGTGCGAGGAAGAAAAACAAAAATTTGCCTGTTCAGAATTTGCCGTACACGCAAATTCTGCTTTGCTCTGTTCGTTGAAAACAATTTTGTTCACTTTTCCTTTTGAACCTATTCGCTTTACTGACACACAACCGGCTTTTGTTTACAAACCTGTTGCTTTAATTTGTGCAAGTGACATTTAATTTTTAATTTTTGCAATTTATATAATAAAATATATAAAAAATAAATAAAATATTTAAAAAAAAATCTTTAAAATGCAAACACTTTTGACTTTTATTTTCTTTCTTTTGTATTTTGATTCGCAAATTTGGCAAAGAAAAATTTGCTAATGGAAAAGTAAGCGAAAATTTTAAAAGAGAAAACAAAAAATTTGCCAAATAAAAATCTGCCTGTGGAAAAGCAGACTAAGGGGTACCGTTATATGGAGGCAACCCAGAAGCTTCGGACAATATTAGTAATTTTTAATAATAATATAAGATAAGTAAAATACATATGCCGATTTGAACACAAAAATAAATGTTTTGTGTACGCTGCTAATTTTGACACACATAAGGAATTACATATGAATGAAATAAGTGACAGCGCATATGTAAAATACATATCGTGTAAAAACACCATTAGATAGATTTTCATTCATGTGTTTCAATTTTATTTTGAGAAATCGAAAATATTACATTTTCAAAATAAATATAATTTGTTGATAATTTGTTTGTTTGTTTACGTTTTTCTGTCAAATGACGTTGACACTAGTATAACTTACAACAAAAAATTTCCATGTGGTTGTTGTGTCGTTTGTTGTACAACAACACTTGCTGTTACCTTCTATTATTATACCATGACCCAGGAGCATGGTACAATTATAAAAGGTAACAGCAAATCCCAGCTGAATTGATTCCAACGTAATACTAGTGTCAATATGAATTTGACAAATTATGTTTTTAAAAATCACCCAACAGGAAAATTGGGAACGCATACAATTTGAAATTGTTCTTTATTAAATGTGCTCCCGTATTCAATTTACTCAATCTGCCTGCTGGGAAAGTTTGAGGAACAAATCTTTCTTCAAGGAATAGCTCGCTATTCCCAGCATTTTCATATGTGTTGCACATATATATGGCAATGGCTCATTTATAGGAAAGATGTGGAAGCGATAGAAATATAAATTTGATAGATTTTCATTCATGTTTTTAAATTTTTTTGAGGATACTCCGCAATTCTGTTTCGTTATTCGTTGTAAAAAAGCTGAAGTTGGCTGCAGACAATTTTGCATTTTCTTTCATTTTATGTTTTCTGTTGGCAAACAAACGCCAAGACCGTTAATAAAATTAAAATCTGTTGTGAGAAAAAAGAAAATCAATCAAAAATATTTGTTTTTTTTCTGTCAAATAATAAAAATTAGATTTTAATATGTCTTCATTGCAAGCTACGGCTATAGCTTATTCAATAAATTCGAGAGTACCTTTCATAATTAAGCTTTTTCTTTTAATTTCATTACTTAATTTTCATAAACAATGGCAAAACGAGAAAATGATTGTGGGAAGAATAAGAAAATTCATAAATTTGACGTGTCTAAACAACAATGAAATTTTGAAATAAATTGGGAAGAAATTTTTTCAAGAAAATTTTCCAGTGTGACTACTGACTATAAAAAATTGGAGAATTTTAATTTTGGGTTTCCCATTGTTGTTTACTGTTTTGTACGCTAATTAGAACCAAAGGAAAGAAATACATATTGCATTATGTAGATAACAAAATTTACATACTTCTGCATATATAAAAACTACACAATTTTTTTTTACTTTTCTTAATTTCATTTCATTTATTAAGTCTGCTTTTCCACAGGCAAATTTTTATTTGGCAAATACTGAGTTTGCAGGCGAGAGGGGTGCGAGGAAGAAAAATTTTGTTGACATTTCCTTTTGAACCTATTCGCTTTACTGACACACAGCCGGCTTTTGTTTACAAACCTGTTGCTTTAATTTGTGCACGTGAAATTTAATTTTTCATTTTTGCAATTTATATAATAAAATATATAAAAAATAAATAAAATATTAAAAAAATCTTTAAAATGCAAACACTTTTGACTTTTTTTTCTTTCTTTTGTATTTTAATTCGCAAATTTGGCAAAGAAAAATTTGCTAATGGAAAAGCAAGCTAAAATTTCAAAAGAGAAAACAAAAAATTTGCCAAATAAAAATCTGCCTGTGGAAAAGCAGACTATGCATAGTAAGAAAGCCAAATAGGTCATTTAAGTTACACAAAACAACATAACTTATACTACTCGAGAAACTTATACCTATAAAAAATAACATACAAAAATGCAATTATCTATCCATAATAACAATTTAACATCAAGCTAAAAAAACGATTCATGTAACCCCAATTATGTAAAAACAGAAAAAACCAATAAATTAAAATTAACTAAAGTTTAGATATCATGAGATTGAACATATATGGTCTGTTCCAGTACTGCAAGAATCTACTCGATTTTACTATTTTCTTCGATATCATAAAGGAAAATTCGTTATCGTAGTAAAAAGTAGTAGATTCTTGCAGTACGGGAATAGACCAATAATAGAAGTTTCTTTTTAAACGTACACGGAGAAAAATTGAACGCCTTAAGATATGGTGGAAGGTTATTGAACATTCGAGCAATTCTTACCAAAAATGACCTTTCCAAAATAGAGGTTAATTTCGGCAAAATATTTGTGCGTTGCTTGTTGATCTCCCAAAAGAAAACAGTTCAATGACAGTAGACGGGAGTTGAAGTTTAAACATCTTATAAAAACAATACAAATTTCGTATATTGACATAATTCTTAAAACTAGTACCAAGAAATGTTTCTACATTAAAGGAAATATGCTGATGCCAACCTACAGAAAACACATAGCGCATAGCCCTGTTAAACAATAAATGCAATTTACGCATCATAAAACCACAACTACCACTGAAGACTTCAAAGCCATACAAAAATATTGGCATTATAAGAGCATACACAAGACGTATCTTGATAAGACGTGGCAAAACAATGTCTAATGGTGTATAACTTTCTTAATGTAAAGTTAACCTTAGACACAATAGAATTCACATGGTCTTCATACGTCAATTTATTATCAATTATTATCCCCAAACAATTTACCTTGCTTACAACATCTATAACTTCATTACAGATGGAAACAGAAATTGCATTGACGGGTAAATTACCAAAATACATAACTTTAGTTTTTCTTGCATTAATACTTAGGCTATTTTCACTCATCCAGCCTACCAATATATTTGTAATAAAATCGATTGTATTTTGAAGAACATCTAAAAACATAATATCACCCAAAAACAAAAGCTGTAGGTCATCAGCAAATGCAAAAGATAAACAATTCCGGCAGCTACCCATACTAAACAAGTCATTAACATACATTATAAATAGCAATGGGCCCAATACAGAACCCTGCGGTACCCCACTACTCACAGACAAGACACTAGACATAATATTATTGCTGCTAACATACTGTTTCCTATCACATAAATACGAATACAAAAGCTTGCAAGCAGAAGACGAAAATTTAAAAAAAAACTGAAAAAGCTCTTCAATTAATTTTGCGCGATTAACCCTATCGAATGCCTTCCCAAGATCAATCGACAAGAGTACGCAACAACCCCCATCACTGACTTTTTGCCTTACGTTGTCGGTCAGACCAATAAGCAGCGATGTTGTGCTACGATGACACCG